CCATGTGAATAAATTATCTCATAACTTAACATGCAAAACAAAAACAATTAGGTAAAATTATTTTTGTTTTGCTTTATAATTTTTGGGAATATTTGTTCACATGAAATTCGTGATTCGTGATGAAATTCGTGAAAATTTACTTTTAAATTTCTCATCAAATTTTCCAAAAAATTCGGCTTTGTAGTTAGCGTATCACCATTAACTTCAACAAATTGCGAATTTAAAATTTCCAATGTATGCAAAAAACTTGAATTCGGCTTGCGCATAACGCCCTCCGATAAACAATTAGCATAAGTATAATTTTAATCACTTTCTTCATCCATTCCATCTAGATTCGTCAAGCCCATTTTGGGGATTATGCATTAATTTTCAGATTCATCATATTCGACATCTTTGAGTGGACTGATGAAATCTTCTGCTTAAAAAAAAATATATTACTGCTCGTGATCAGGTAGCATGAATTTAATGAAATGTCATAATTTTATTAAAAGTCAAATGGTGAACAACAACAACGAATGTCATTAAATGAAACTACCTTCTTTTTTGTATCATGGTTTTACCTTACTATGTTTTTATCATGGCAGCACAGTATATACATTTTACCGATTAAGTATGTTAAGCAAAATAATATATTTCAAGCATTTTTGATATTTAATACAACAATATTTTTCATCATTTTACACAAATTTACGATCAGCGCCACACGGCAACACTCGATTAGTTTGATAGCACTTGCAGATGAAATAAAAATTTCTAGTGCAGCACGAGCAAGTTGAAATATATTTCCGAAATCGATTTTCGTTCTTTCAGTTGCAGTCACACCTTGCAACTTTTATTGCTGAAACTGCTTTCCGGAAAGGGGAATTAAATTTCTCTTTCTCAATTTGACAGCGAATTGCGTGCGAAAGATGGAAATATTGCCACGTCTGACAGGCTCTTTACAAATCCGTCCTTTTAACTTGTACATGTACATGATGCAATAATACAAGGTGGTATCAGTTGTGACAGCTCGATTTGATACTGCCTTAGCTCAATAGAATGAGAAGAAAAACGGGAAGAAATGAATCCCAATATGGGGGAAAAATATAAAATTTCACATTTTCTCCTTAACAAAATTTGCTTTTTTATAGTATATTCCATGATACAAAAAACAAGGTAGTTCCATTGTCACTTTTCCGTCGCCATATTAACAACCTGACAATTAAGCAGATTGTGACATTTCGTGCTACCATACCCAAAATCTAAAATACTTCAAATTTTCTTATTAATTTTTTGTCGATTTAAAAATCTTTGTTCTTAAGCATAGTATTTTATTCCTCTTTCACGTGAAAAGCTGTTAAATTGCATATAAAACTTCTTTCTGTGAAACAAGTGTGAAATTCGACAACATTTCCTCAGCAAAGTACTATTCTGTTCACGCTGTGAAAAAACTTGCAACATTTTTGCAAAATGAAGCTAGCAACACAATTTTCATGACATTTTTAAATACACATGTACATTTTAAATTGTGTGAAAGCTGACAGTTTATAGAATTCAGTAGCGGCGAAAACAAAGGGGGGTTAAGTGGTTAAACCTTACCCAAGCCGATCGTAAATCTTGCGACGCAATTTCAGCTTATGCCTGTCGGTCTTGACACCCTGTGATGATGTTACTTTCCAGAAGGTTTCGCGCCCGTTTTTCTGTACATATTTCCATTGGAAAAATGCCTCATCTCAGTATGCTAGGTAAATGCTTCCAGAGGTATCTATGCATCACCAGAATTTTAGTTTATATGGCTTATACCGCGAGCTCTCGTAGCTGGCTACGAGATCGTTTTCATATACCCCCATTTTTCATAGGTTTGGGATTGATTTCATTTACCTCTTTTCCTCTTTTCTACGGTGGCACGCTGCATTTTCCAACAAACCCATATTTTTTCACGAGCTTGAGATTGACTTCATATACATACATATATCCATACCAAGTTCCAGAACTCTACCATAAATACTTCCAGAGATATGCACTATGAAAAATTCGATTTGTATGGGAGGTTCCCCACCCCCTTTAGATAACGGTTTTGTTTTAGCCTATAACCATCCTTGGAAGATTTGTGTCCGAAATTTCAAAAAAATCGACATAGCCGGTATGGGCATTGTGACTCCTCAAAGGAAATGAACTAATGATTGCAAAAAATGAAATCAAACGTCGTAGTTGACCAAAAAAGAATATTAGACTTCATTCTCTCAACTTATCAGAATGTAGAAAAGCTAAGAAATATATAATAAGATAGGATATATTAAAACAGCCTCCAAAACATTTACTAAGGACGCCCCTGAACTACACAAATCAGTTTGATTGAAAATTTGTTTTTATCTATTTATTTTATACTTCACTTTTGTGTGTTTCAAAACTTCATGTGAAAACAATATGTGTTGCTGGAAAAATTTCGCGGCCCATGGATCCCAAAGTAAATTCCATTTGCTGTTAAATGGACAAAGACAATATGTATTAAATAACAGATCGAAATGTATAATTTCAGTGTCTGAATTATATCAGAATCATCGTATCCGATATAGAAAACTACATTTAGGGGATTCACAAGACGTGTTAACCGTCGTAAAATCTTAAGGTTAACATCTTTTTTAATTAAAATGGTTTTAGGGGATTTCTAACTAAACCGAAATTCTTTTAAACTGATAAAGAATATATAATTAGCCAACCCCCCCAACCATTTTAACCGCTATTTTACATAAACAAGTGTTAAGCTTAAGATTTTACGACGGTTAACACGTCTTGTGAATCCCCTAATTGTGAAATAATCAGATGATCATGAGGACACAAAAACATTTTAAAATATGTTCACTAAAATTGTATTAATATTAAAATAATGATAAAATTTAAACGTTTTTAAGATAAGATATTAATTATTATTAAAAGGTAAATATTAACACAACTATTTTATTTATAATCCCAAATTAAGAATATAAAATCTCCCACACCAAAAAACTTACAATTGGGTAACGCCGCTTCGAATTTTTCGCAATTGAGCAATTGTCAAAAATCTGCTTTTTAATCAAAAAGTTGTTTATTGAAACTACCTTCTTTTTTTGTATCATGGTATATTCGAAATGAAATAAAATAAGATAAAATACCTTTTTAAGAAAACAAAGTGTGTATACTGAGAAAAAATTAAAATCATTCAACTATATTAATGGGCAAAGAATAGTTAAAAAAGTAACACTGTTTCACGTAAGGCAGTCAATATGGCGGAATTAGAGCGAGAAGTTGCCAACTGATAACACCTTGTATTATTGCATCATGGTTCATGTACTACTTTTTGTCAAATTTAACTGAGTGACTACCTACACACATATGTACACTATTTTGCTTTATTACTCAATTGTTAAGTTCAAAAGTTGGTCTTATTGCTCAACGAAAAATGAAATAAAGCAAATATGTGTTATTTCAAATTAAATTGGGAAATAACACGAATTTGCGTTATTTCCGTTTGTGTTATTTCTTCAACTCAAGCCATTGTACATCACCATAGAATAGACAGCCAAGCGGACTCTCTGAAATTTCGCAAGAGACAAGGCTATGACAGAGGTAAAGTCCTATCGTCTAGCAATATAGAGAAGCTAGGATCCTAGCTCCCTATGAGCCCTTTTCCCCAGAGATGACATAAACAATGTGATTGTTCTCGAAAACCAATTCAAATCAGAGCTCGGTAACAAGGCGACCTGGAGCAACTCCATTATGGAGTGGTATGTAGAAGCCAGTACCATGCAATGGTGCACTGACAACTCCAAACCACCAGACATTTGGGTGAGCATTTATGGTCCAAGGGTGAGGCTATACGTGCCCATAAGCAGATTCCCGAGTATCTTTCAAGCGCAGGTCTTCATCAACCGGTGTGCTTAGATTAACTTAGTTAAAGGTTATCGGAATGAAAAGATTCTAATTCTCAGCCGCAGTCAGGCGGCACTCTAGGTACTATCATCTTCGAAGTGAAATCATCCTTAGTCCTTGAGTGCATTGGGAACCTCAACGACCTAGCTGAATACAATAACGTACCACCACTGTGGGTGCTAGGTCCCGGCGAAATACAGGGGACCGAGATAATGGACGGCTTATGGACGGGACAGCGGCGGCCTCGGCTCCCGAGCCATTCCTTGCAACATGCCCACAAACAATTAGAGAAGAGCTTAGAAAAATACATATGTATAAGTCGGAGAGAACAATATTGAGCAGCACAATTGGGCTTCGCCAACCTAAAAGCTTACTGGTAGGAGGGGGGTGTACAATCTAAAAAGATGCAAACTTTTAATTAACCTCCCCAAAAAGTCCCTTAGAATAATTATAGGCTTAGGCACTGGACACTGCAGATTAAAAGGACATCTACATAAGCTCAGAGTTGTCAGACGATCTTTGTCGTTTCTGCGACACAACTTATACGTCTCCATTGCACCTATTCCTCGAATCTGATGCTGTAGCGTGGTGACGAATGAACTGCTTAGCCTCAATGGGGTCAGAAGGAGAGCACATGCATTCTCCTGGACTTCCTGGAATCTTTGGGAATCAAAGATGTGTTGTGATGAGTGGAGGGCAAATAGACCCAGTAGGTCGCTGTGCAAACCTCTTAAATGTGTCTATATACATTCTACTTCAGTAATTGAAATAATGACTATATTGCTATTAAAGCAGTGTTCTGTTCTTTTCTATACAACAGTTTTTTTCAAATATGCCACCAACACTATATGGGACCTTAGAGAATATAAAGGATATATAGCAAACTTGAGCAAGTTGTTTGAACATTCTTTTAAATGCATTTATGCAGCTCTCTAGTAGCATAATTTGGGTTAGGATTGCACTTCTATCACCACAATCAGTATTAATGCTAAAGTGGAGTAATCCTCCATATATGTTTGTATTGTATTTAATTTAATTCAATTTAATTTCATTCTTAAACAGGACTCAACAATATTTTTGAAATATGCAATGATATTTGTGCCTGTGGCTTATACATCAAAAATCCTGCCGCTGTTTCATGAATGGGAAGATACGTAAGTACATACCAACTTCTGCACCAATGTACATACATATGTATGTACATAAATATGTTGTAAAAATCGGCCATATCACTCATTCCACCGTTTAGTCAATAAGCACGTAGAGTATAGCGATCAATCGGTCCATCTCTTAATTTCTTCTTTTTCGCTTGTTCTAGACCAGGTATATTATAGCTCACTTCATATGTTGTTACACCAGTTATAAATAATTTAGTTAATTCATTGTGGAATTCTGTTCTATCCGGTTTAGAGATCATTCCATAAAGAACATCCTTAAAGCGATCTAGTTCTTTAATTCGATTGTAGTACGTACCATAAGTGGTCTCATAATATTTCATATTACTTTTTTCTTGAGCTGTTCTTAAAAACCGTCGGGACTCCTTCCTTGATTGAAAACAATTAGGCGAATAAGAAATCATGTACGTACTCTTTTCCAAATCCCTTAACATTTGTTCTATCGCTTTTGCGTCCACACAAGGCGATCGAAAAAACATGTTATACAATTCCTTCTTGCATTTTTCCAAGCGCTTTACAAAATGTTTATATTCCTCTACGCCAAATTTTGTTTTGGGCCATACTTTGCTTTTCACTTGCGCTCCATTGACCTGTAGTGGGCGCCAATAGTGGTTGCTGATGAGTGACTCATCACACTGTTCGATTTTTGTTGGCCCTTTAGCAAAAGGTGATTTCCTCTCTTTGTAATCCTGCCTGTATGTGCTAATATAATTTCCGCAGCATTCGAACATTCCGCAGTAAAATAAAATACAAATATTAATTTACATATGTACATAATAAAATAAAAAAACGATTTTTATTTTGATTTCCAGTTGTTAAAATATGGACAAACTAAAGTGTGTGATTTTTTTTTAATCTTTTTTTTTTTATTTTCCAGTGATTTGAAAAATGAACTTGTACAAGTGGTGTCGATGGATTTGGGACTGGAAAACGAGCTTTTTAATGAGTCTTTGCTTACAGACGTTTGGTTGGTCTCATTGGGCGGCATATTCGTTATGACCTGTATTTGGCTGTATACAACTTCGATATTTATAACGTTGATGGTGTGTGTTGCAGTGCTGTTTTCATTGGGATTAGCCTACTTTGTTTATACTCTTGTATTCAAAATGTCATTCTTTCCCTATATGAATTTGTTAGCTGTGGTCGTAATTATAGGTAAAGGATTATGCATGTGGTATGTAAATTAAAATAGCTTCTGATTTAATTCAAGGCATAGGTGCAGACAATGCATTCCTGTTTGTGAAAATTTGGCAATGCGTTATTGCAGAACGCTTCACAAAGGCAAACTCGAATCATGTGACGTCAGTTACCGATAGTGGTAGTGAGCATACGGAAACTTTACAAAATCTAATGGCGTCTACATTTCATCATTCGGCATTGTCAATGTTTGTATCTTCATTAACAACTGCAACCGCATTCTTTGCATCGTACACCAGCTCCATTACGGCGATAAAATGCTTTGGGTAAGTTAAGCTGAAATTAGTCATGAACGTAAACCTACCGGTACGTAGACCCGAGTCGGCTGCTGATACGATCTGTCTTACCAAAGCACCATGTAACTGAAAACTTAACACCGCAGAATTTTTCTGTAGTTGTAGCCCGTAGCGCAGAAATCTGCAGAATTTAGTTTTTTCCGTGTCAGCTGATTTCTTCCTTCGATAAATGGTTGCCACTTCGTCAGTTTTGCAGATGGTAAAAAAGTTCCTATTCATAATATGTGTAAATTATTTGAAATTTACTATTGCGTAAGGTTTTTTGTTGAAAACTAAGTAGTTTATATTTTGCTAAGATCTATTATAGCACGAAAAATTGTTGTTGATAACGTAAGTTTATGAAAAGGCATTGATAAGTGGCAACACTGTAGTAAGCAACACGGAGGGCTCCACTAATCGACAAAATTCTGCGTATACATAAAGCTTTAATTTTTGCAGCATGCATATACAGTGACGAGCAAAACTGTAACATGGTTTAACACTTTTTGTTTCAGCCACCGCTATATTTCCAAGTTCTAACGACTTTCATCCTTTTGTTGAATATTCTTGTTGGTACATCCCTACTCCCTCTCTCATAATGATTTGAAGTCAATACAACAACAATAAAAAAATCAGCAGACAAAAATGTAAATTAAGGCAGATGTTACAGTTTTGCACTCATATATTTTAAAGAGCTTTTAACAATTTCCACGAAAAAAAAGAACTACTAACACAATGTTCAGTACTCTTTTGCCTGTTTCAGTTCCTGGATGTGATTTGGCATACCTTATTTGTATCTCTGTAAAAATTCTGGAGGTATATCCTTAGTTTGCTTTCACTGCTCATGTACTCGATTTTACGGACTTTGATACTTATTAAGCTGTGCTTTTAGTTGATTTCGCAAATTCTCGATGAGATTCAAGTCCGCGGTTTGTGGAGGTCATTTCAAATTAGCAAATTTTTGCTTTTGTATCCAGTCTTTGCGAAGATATGCAGTATGTTTTGGGTGATTTTTCAGCAGAAACTCTCATTTTTCGACTACATCTTGCAAATTTTGTTGAAATATGAACAGATACTGTTCCTTACGCATAATGCGTACTAACGGACCAACAAAATTTTTGAAATACAACCCCAAACAATTAAGATCCTACCACTGTGATTCACAGTTTGCAGTACATGATGCGCTTAGGCTTAATTTGGGTCTTTAAACCAATACCATGCCCGGCCATCTGATTGAAAGCGATTAATTTAGTCTTGTCCGACCAAATAACATTCAATTGAAACTTAAAAATATGTTTTTTATTGCATTCTGAACGGCCTAACATGTCCCAATAGGCAACGGTTCGGTTTTCGTGCGATGCAGCGAAATGCTGCCACACTCGCACATGTATTTTGATCAAAATGATCTTTTGATCTTTTATTATGCCTTAGTGTTCAATTTGGCAATTCTTCGCCTCGCTGTCTACTGATTTGCATTCAATTTTAATACCTTAAGCGCTTCTGTAATAGTGGCTGCATCGGTACTTGTTGCTAAGTTCACAAGATATCGTACCGTAATATTTTTTAACAGACTTCCTTTGCCCTTGGGAACACTTTAGGCTATATTTTTTCCAACTCTTAACATTTTTAAGTACCAAATTCCAAAATTTTTTGCCACTTTTCGTGCGTTTCCGCCTTTCCGCAGTAAATCTATTATTTACATTTAGGGTTCCTGATTAACTATGTTATTTACTGGTGATCACTTCTTCAATAAATTACAATATAGAAAGAAGTCATCTGACTTCCAACTAAGTAAAAGATAACTGTCAAATGCAAAACTGAGAGTGATTGCAAAACTGTAACATCTGCCTTAATTTACATTTTGGTCTGCTGGTTTTTTTATTGTTGTTGTATTGACTTCAAATCATTATGAGAGAGGGAGTAGGGACGTACCAAGAAGAATATTCAACAAAAGGATGAAAGTCGTTAGAACTTGGAAATATAGCGGTGGCTGAAACAAAAAGTGTTAAACCATGTTACAGTTTTGATCGTCACTGTACATACATACTAGGGTGCTTTTTTTTTTGCGACTATTTTTTTTTTTCGGTCCCATCGTGAAATTTTGTTGGAAATACCCAAAAAAAAAATCCCCTGAAAGTTTGAGCCCTTAATATTAATTTTAAGTACTCGGCCAAGGCGTGTGAAGATTTTCCATTTAAAATACACGGGAACTTTGATTTTTTTTTTTAAATTTCTATAGCTCAGCGGCATTTAATGGTATCACCTTGTCCAAAATGGGGATTTTCTCAGCATTAAATGCTCTACAAAAGTGCCCACTGCGGCGAAGTCGTAACTCACACCGGCGAGGTAGTACGGGCCACTAAACCTGATTTTTTCATGAAATTTACGTTTTTTCGCATTTATCTCGTAAATGACGAGAGCTATAGAAAAAATGTAAATGAGAAACTTGTAGGAAATTTTATTTCCTACAAAAAAGCTCATTAGGGCTTAATCGCTAACTTCAATACTGCTTGAGATATTTCAATTTTAAGTTTATGAAGTTCTAAATTTTTATCAAAAATCACGTAAAATTATAAAAAATATTCATCTTAAAAAAAAAGGTAATTAGTTAAAAAAGTAGTGATAAATAAAAAAAGAACAATATTTTTTATAATTTTACGTGATTTTTGATAAAAATTTAAAATTTAATTTGTCAGTCCTTGCCTGGTGCCACTTTAGGGCATGCTCAGGACTTCGCAACACGCGTGATTGGGCGAGGGACTATGTTGGTCCCTGCTGTGCTGCCCAGTCGTATATCTCCCCCGCAACGCCGCCAACCACCACCATAAGGCAGCACCCCCTTTTGCAGCACATACAGCAGGGAGCCGGCAGGCAGCACAACTCCATAACACCACACATCACAATTGGTCTCCCAAGGCACACAGAGGTGCTACAATTAAACTGTAACAGACTTCATAGCAAGAAACGAAGTGGCACGGCAATCCAACCTTGTTGAATTGCGCCGGATACAACGTGCACCGTCGAGATCGCGAGCAAGACAATGGTGGAGGCTTAGCGTTCATCACGCACCATACCGCAGGGATACCATCCTAGAATGTCAGGGTATTGCTATCCGATCAGGCGATGTTGAGCTCGAAATATTTAACTTATATATATCCCCTGTCACCAGCTGCTCGGCAGGGTATCACCCTGAAATAGGTGCGCTACTCAGAGGTGAAAACCGTATGGTAGTTGGCGACTTTAACGCGCACCATGTTCTTTGGCACTCAAGCCTCTTAAATGATCGTAGGGGAACACATCTGGCTGATCAAATAGACGCACCGACCAGGATTATGGGCAGCTGCTGCAGTTCGCCAGATCTAACAGTTGTCAGCACTGGTCTGATAAACAGCGTATGATAGAGACCTATGCTGACCCTAGCATCAGACCATCTGCCAGTAGTCATCTCGATTGATAAACCTGCCGACTTTGCTTCCGCGGATCACCGGACCTATGTCAACTTTTCCACTGATTGGAAAGGCTTCGCGGATGTTACTGAAAGCGCCTTCACAGCACTACCCATAACAATCGACTTTCGCGTAGGTGCTGCAGGTCGCTTCATCCCAGCAGGATGTATTACAGATCCGCGTCCGAACTTTCCTACTGAAGCGGCTGTTCTAGCCGATGAGCGTGACAACCTTCGTTAGGCCGATCCCGGAAATCCCCGTACCAGGGATCTCAATTCGGAGATTCGGCAACTTGTGAACGTACATAAGCGGAAGAAATTGGAAGAGCATCTGAAGTCCTGCAACTTCGCCTCTGTTGTGAATAAGATTTGGCCAACCGTGAAGTCATTGTCCACCCCGGCGAAGCGTGACGACAGAGTTTAAATAGACTTTGGTGACCACGCTTCGTCGGACCCGGAGCGTTGCGCGAGCTATTATAGCCGGCAGTTCATTCTGCATCCTCCGGTGGATAAAGCCAAACGTAGAGTGACCAGAAGGCTGCACAAAATGCCAAAACCTAGTGCGTCTGTTGTTTTCACCAGCAGTGAGTCAAGGGTAGCCATCGGAAGGCGACAGCCTCCAAAGCCATTGGACCCGACGAAATATGCATGTTGATGCTGAATACTTTGGGTCCGGCGTGAGTAGCGTACCTAACGGAGGTCCTCAATTTGTCAACAGGCACTTTCGTCATTCCAGAAATCTGGAAGATGGGAACAGTGGTCCCACTGCTCAAACCGGGGAAACCAGCCGACAAAGAAGAGTCTCATCGTCCGAT